TATTAAATATAAACTAGGCAAACTTTCATTGCACGTTGCTTGCACGTAGTATGATATTAAATCATGAATTGAATGAATAAAATCCAAGCACATGGGATCTATATATAGTAATTGGAAATGTTTGTTTCAAAAAAGACAACCAAACAAAAAGACACATTTCTTGGAATTTATCTCTATACATGAAGAGACACACCCATTGAAAAATAATCACACCAAAAGTCATGATATTTCAAATGGAAAGACACACTTTTCCATTCAAATATTTTCTAGAATATTCTATAATAGTCTATATGATTTTCCAACAATTCAAGTATTTAAGCAACTAAAATTTGATTTAATTTCTCATTCACCAAATAATGATTTCTACTTAAATAATCAATTAAAATTGGTCAAAACCAATTTTTGATACAAAATTCCAATGCAACTAACGAAGCTCCAAGATTTATTCACTTGAAAAAATAAATCCGATTGCAACAAAAAATTCGAACTTTTCAACAAGAACCAAACTTTCTCTAACACAAAATTACTCCTCATCTTCCACTGTATCCAACATTGATATATCAACATGAACACCGAGTTTCCCAAAATTCATAAAGAATTAGAAATTACCAAATAGTATCGAAACACACCCTGTAACAGAATCAACTCCTAATGCTTTCATAGAAGGCCCATGCTAGTCTCCATACCTTTAAAAAAGCTAAAAGCATGTGCAACCGAATCAGCATCCATGTACCTATCTCTAATGGGTCTATCCCTAGTAGTTAAATACGATGGAACTGCAGGTAATGGTGGCAAATCAGAATTACCTATATCCTCCAAACTCAATTGAGAAGTATTCTTCAATATTGACTCCAAACCAAATCCCAAAGGTACATTACCAAATTGAATCTCCACCACGGTACTAAATTTGTCATGACTTTTCTTTACAAATTCTGTCCAACCTTGCAAGATGTATAATTGAGACCTTTGCCCCTTCAATACAATACGAATACCTTTTCGAACCCTCAAAACTCCACATTCTCCAGAAAAGCGTACCCTTTTAAATCAAGAGTACTTAACAAAATGAAATTTTTCTTCAAGTCTGTTGAGTGTGATCAAATGTTCTACTCGTTTCATCCACTAGCTTCAATCTGACTCTATCAATACCAACTATCCGACAAAGTTCGTTGTTACCCATGACAACGATACATTGCATCACCGTTTCATATGTTTCAAACAAATCCTGATTGTGACACATATGGAACTCACAAGCTGTATCCAAAACCAACTCTTCGTTAGGTTTGAATTCCACGTCAAAAATTGTCAAAACATCTCCATCATTCAAATAGTTTTCGGTTATGTTGATCTCGTCTGAAGTATTTGATTGCTTTCTATGATTTGCAGTCAAATTACCTTTATTCTGTAATTTGTCGCAATCCCTCTTAATGTGTAATTTCTTCTTACAATAACATCAAACCTGATTATTAAAATTTCATTTTGACTTACCTTTTCTCCGATTACCACGAACAACAAGGTATTCTCCATCTCTGACAGAGGAACATAGTAATTTATTCGATTGACTAATATGAAAAAAAAAAAAAATA